CTTCAGCCACCCAGATCTGAAGGCAGCACAGAAGTAAGGGTGGCAGTACCGTGACCCCCCCTAAAATAACCTTGTGATGCCCCCTGCAACTCCCTTTTGGGAAGGACGCTCAATTTGAGAAACGCTGGCCTCCTCCGTGAAATCTGGTCTTGTGTGTGCTTTTACACTGTACTATACAGATTTCATGGCGGGAGGCCAGATTTCACCGTACGTGATGCGTTTTTCATGGCCGTGAATTTGGTAGGGACCTAATCAATACAAATATGCATGGCATTCTACCAACACAGATGTGACATGTTGCTCACAACCAAGAGATCTCTATCATCTACACACTTAAGGCAACTAAGCCCAACAACTGTTAGCAGCTGGAACAAATCTTCAAATTACACTGCCTTAATTTTATAATATATATATTATAACGATACCTCTACCCCGCTATAACGCGACCCGATACAAGATGGGTTCGCATACAACACGGTAAAGCTCTGACACGCTGTTCTGAGCAGCGTGTTAACGGTGCCGGGCCAGTCCGGGGCCGAGGGGTTGGATAAGGGGCAGAGGGTCTCGGGGGCGGTCAGGGCTCTCCCCCCCCGCCCAGAGTCTGGGAGGCAGGAGCTGTGGGAGGGAACTTTTGGGGGCCCTGCAGTCCCAGAGTGGCCCGGGGGATTAGCGGGGGGCCGGGAGCAGCCCGTTCTGCTTCCCTCGCCCCGGCCGGAGGGTGCTTACTCTGGCGAGCCGCGTGCCAGAGGTTGCCGATCCCTGATGTAGAGGATGGCTGTTTTCTAAAATTCACTGTTACATCAAAATTAGTTCACACTAAACAAATGTTTTGAGCAAATACACCTCTACCTCGATATAACACTGTCCTCAGGAGCCAAAAAAATCTTACTGCGTTATAGGTGAAACCGTGTTATAATCGAACTTGGTTTGATCCGCCGGAGTGTGCAGCCCAGCCTCCCCGGAGCGCTGCTTTACCGCATTATATCCGAGTTCATGTTACATTGGGTCGCATTATATCAGGGTAGAGGTGTATGTTAAACTAAGCAACCATATTTTGCACACAAACTCACCAGCGATCACAATAAAAGACAAATTATGGTAGATATAGTAGCGAAAGACAAATATATATATTCCTTATAAAGTTTAATTTCTGAAAGTGGAGTAGAAAAAGGCCCACTTCTGTCTGGTACCACGTACTATTCACAGCACCTGCTGGACAATTTTTGATTTCTTAAAAAAGTCAAGATTGCACAATATCAGACCCATAAAGCATAGAAAAATGTCATTGGCATGCAGATCCCGCTATGCCTTTGGGGGTGTGGTCTGTCCTTTCAAAGCCTGTCCCACAATCTGGCACTTAAAGGCATGGCAGGTTCCCCTTACTGCTTTAGTCAAACTCAAGTTATTGGCCTTGAAACCAGGAAAACTGAGTGAAATTTAAGGGCCTGTGAAAGACTGGAGATCAGACTAGATGACCTAATGTTCCCTTCTGGCCTGTAACTCTATGACTATCTTAAATATTACGTTAATTCTATATTTAATTATTAGAAGAAACTTAATATCTCACTTGTGAAACAATATGTTCTACAAGATCTATGGCACCAGGCAATCACCTGTATATCCAAGGATGGAAACAGATTTGTACCTCTCTCAATCATATACTGACACTTCTTTCTAGATCCACAGCTGCATATGTGGTGTGTATGATAAAGATATATGAAGGAAATATGATAAATTTACAAAGCAGTCACATTAGATTTCCTTAGTGTGGCTCTGAAGCAAACTAACAGATTACTATTTAAATAAAAACTGTAGCAAGAATGCATTGATTTTAGGTTACTGAATGTCTTAATTTAATTCTTAATCTCAAGATCTGGTTAAATAATATTCAACATATTTCCCCCCTATGCTTCCAAAAATCAATCATGGAATAAATTATTAGCGCAAAAAAAAAAAAAAAAAAAAAAAAAAAACCCACACACTTTTCATTATTTGAACAGTTTTACAGATGTTCAAATAATATCAATTAAAATAACTAATATTTGCCTGCCAATCATATATTAAAATAGTTGCAATTCGACCTCTCTTCTCCATTAATCAATCAGCACTATTTCACTATTTAGTACAAAAATAGATTTATTGAGGGTTATTTTATTTTTCTGTCTTATTACATGTTTTATAAACTGGAAGAAAGATACTAGGCACTTCAGGTCCTGGGATTTGTAACCAGTAAATCCAGAATGTGGTGCTAAATCATCAAACAGAGCCATCAACAGTGAGACATCTTTCCCCCACCTTGCCCTGCTGAGAATTTTCTCAGCATATTGAAAGAGGCCAATTAAAGCAACAGAGAGAACACAATGTCCTCTCCATAACTTAATCCCTCTTTGCTTGAGTGGGATATAAATTGGTGCCTGGTTGTTACTGTGGTTGACTGGAACCTGAGTGAATCAAAATCTCTCTCTACACAATGAGCAAGGAGTGTGATTTCCCCGCTTGAGGACTGTAAGAGGGCTGGACTCACCCCTGCAGCACCTCCTGCTGGTTGTCCAGGGAATTAGCTCTCTAGCCTCTGGAGTGCCCTCTGCAGGCCAGTGAACTGCCTGTCCTCCTCACTGCCCCCCCCGTGTCCCTCCCAGGACCCCAGTGCCCCTTGCTCTGGGTGCTGCCCCCTGGCAATACCCACACACACTAGGTCTCCCCTCCCAGGGGAACCCCCACCCACTACCCCCACCTTGCCTCAGTACTAGGCTACTGCCAGTCACCAACTAGCCCCCGCTCCCTGGGGCAGACTGCAGTATAAGCCACTCATCACTGGCAAGGAGGGTTTGGACCTGCTGCCTTGGCCTAGCCCTGGGTTGTCCTCTGCAACCCCCAGTACCCCCTTAGCCCTTCCACTA